AGAATTAGTCAATGTTTGCAACCACCAACAATAAATGAAGTATAAGAAATGAATAAATACCAACCAACCATTATATATATATTTAATGAAACACCCATTAATATTACACCCATTTAGGGTCCACAACCTTAGTATTTAAAACTAGCTATCATACTAGAATCCAAGACAAAGCAATAAATTCATAAAGCTTACAAAGATACAAGATTCTATCTTCAAAAGCTTCCAAAATAATGGTGTATTCAATGCCTTCAATGTAGCCTCTTTTTCAGACAAGATGTCCCACAAAAACCCTAGTAAATCTATTTATAATGGGCTAAAAGTCGGGGTCAAATTTAGACAAAAATGACCCTGCAGATCACATCTGGGACCGTAGAATGGGTCGCAGATCATGTATGCAGTCCGCAAAAATACAAAGTCATCGCATAATTGCGTGCCCAGTTACCGAGTTCCCCATCGCAGATCCATTACGCGGTCCGCATATTGATTATGCGACCGCAAACTGCATCGCAAAAGTACTCTCGCAGAATCTCCTTTTGCACATATGCGATCATTATGCGGTCCGCAAAAGCGTTATGTGACCGCATGGTAGACCGCATATTTCTCTCTTCAAGAGCTGCAACACCTGCTTCAGCCTGCGGTTGGTTTGCAGCCCGCACATCACTTCTATGGTCGCAGACCTGCCGTATTTCTACCCTTCTATGGGTTTTTGTCTTCTTTTCTGCGTTCTTGGTTCTTCAAGTCTCGTACACTACAAAACACCAAAAATTCATAAGAAATAACTAAATATGCTTTAAAAGACGAGCTAAAGTCTATGTAATTAGTATCAAAAGTGCCGAAATTCTACAGCACATCAACATCCCCAACTTAGACTCTTGCTTGTCCTCAAGCAACTAAAATAAAATTAACCTATCATACACTACTCTATTTCCAACAGATCACAAAACAACAGTAACCGTAGATGGTGCTGACTGTCAGCTAACAAGCATGTAACTTCTTTTATTCACCCTTCGTGGAAGACAAAGACCATTTAGCAATTCGACCAATCAACTTGTAAACTTCGAGCCTCAAGCAAAATGACAGAATGCTACCCATAGCTAAGTGTGCACTTGTATCCTACTTCAAGAACCTAACTTTTGCTAAATCTTGCAATTCATGCGTGCTCACAACAAAGAAAATTCCCAACTAACAAATATGTACAGGGGATACAATCAAACACTCTTGCACTCAGAAAGAAAGCTAAATGTTACAAGTATCAGTCCATATGCTTGCCCTTATTTTAACTCGCTGCTATCTCAGGAATAATTGGTTGTAGATCACCAAGGACTTTTCACGGGTTGTAGTGTAGGCTTCGGGACGGGGTGGACGAATATTTGGGAATGTAGTGGCTATACCCTCCTTGAACTCTACATACACTTTGCTTCTTTACCACATAGCACTTATTGACCTCGAGTTACTGACATAGAACAACCTCAAAGTATTTCTTCAGTTTTCACAAGACTCCACTCCATTTCTCTTATATAAGAGAAATGGAACAAATGTTTTTCTGTTGTTTTTCCTTTGGAACTTGAGTATCTTCATATATATAACTTTGAGGTTTTTGTCTTTTTTTCTTCTACACACAGTAGGCAACCTTAACAATTTCCACTTAACACCGGCACCCCCAACTTAGGCTTTTAGCCAAATTCTTAATCGTTCAAGGAAGGATGGATTCAAAAGTGGGAATTATTTCACAAAGGGGGTAAAGGTTTGTAATGTGGTAGCTAAATAAAAGGTTAAAGGCTCAACAGGGGTAACTAGGGTAATTGATGTACCATGGAGGTCAATTTGATCAAAATTAGCTAGCAATCACAAAGAGAGCCTAAGATCATTTCAGCACTCAATCATTAACCTGAGAGTTGCATTAAGAAACCAACCGGGAAAGTTCTAGACATCACAAGTTAAGCATATGCATTATTTATACAAATCCTCACTCACTCACAACGCATGAGCTGTTCGACTCAGCATAATTTGATCCCTCAAGTGAATGCAACACAACTCAAAGCTTCATCTGCTGTGAGTAAGCATAAAGTGAAAGAGCGAGCCTCGAGTTCACAAGAATGACTAACTATTTATTTACAAAATTAGAAGGGTGAAATTTATTCCACAAAAACTTATCACATGCTTGAAGCTAGAACAACAACACCAAACAAGTCAAAATGTTTTGTGCTACCGCCATGGTTCCACTATTACAGCCTTGGAAAAGAACCCGGCAAAGAAAAACCAAGGGGAATTCATTGCTATCTACAAATATACACTATTAAAGTAAAGAGTTTATATACAAGTTTCACACAAAAAATTTGACTACCCCACCCCCAACTAAAAGCATGCATTATCGCCAATGCATTGAGAAAGTAAGAGCAAAGTTTAGGGGCTTCCTGGGCGCACTAGGCGCTAGGAGGGGCTGGAATAGCTGCGGGGTCAGATGCTGGCACTACGGAAGTAGCAGGTGGAACCTCGGACTGTGTGGTGGTGTTTGAGGCCAGAATAGGAAGCTCCACCTGCTGTGAAACTAGGTATGGGGCCTGGGAGCTGCTAGCCTCACCCAGTGATAGCTGCGTGGTCGAGGGAGTGGCTTTGGCGACCATGTCTGTAATGGAATGTGCAATTGCTGTCTGCACATCTGCTTCCTCTTCACCCTGTGTATCTTTAGAAACTGCAATTTGTTTGCCTCTGTTGTCCCATTGATCCTCATTCTCCTCAAGAAATGTCTCCTCATCAGTCTCCTCCTCCTCAGTGTCCTCCTCAAACCCTTCAGATTCCTCTTCTGAATGATCATCTATGTGCACAACAGGGCCTGAAGCCTGTGAAGCCTTAGTACCATGGATCACCTCAAGGGCCACCTCAGCTGACACGAGGTTTTTGAAATCAAGGCCAAGGCTAGGAATCTGGGAGGTAGCAGTGCCCTGCTCCCTGCCTCCGGAAGAAGAAAGGTAAAATCAAACTCCAGGTTTTGCATTTTGAGCAGCTCTGACTTTAGCTCAGCAACCTCCTTCTTAAGTTGAGGCATGTCCCCAACTTTTCCTCGCTTAACCCTCTCAAGGCGCACTTCAAAGTGCTTGAGTCGATCCTCATAAGATAGATGCTATTTTTGAAGATCAGTGGCTGATGTCTAGATCGGGGCCAGTGCTTGCCGGATGAGAGATTGAAGTTCTTTCAATAATTTTTCTACTTTGGCATTTGCATGTTGTGCCAGTAGACCAAGCTTTGAGAGTGCGGGAAACAAGGCAGGTAGTGGTGCAGTGGCTGCTCTAGGAGTGGATGTGGAAGTGGCCGGTACGGAAGGAGTGTCTGATGAAGTTGCAGGTGTTACTAAGGCTGGAGAAGGAGTGAGTGAAAGCGCTGGTGGATTGTCGACCACTATACCGGCAGCATCATTGATCCGGGTGATGTCAATATCCTGAACAACTTTCACTATGAGATCATGTTTGGGGATAGGAGGAACCGTCACAACTTTACACAAGGCATGGATTAGGCATGGAAAAGGGAGCGAAGTTGCTGTCAGATTTGCTCGGATCCCAATCTCACGATATATAATCTCTCCCACATCAACCTTGATGCCTGTCATGATGTATGCAATGAGGATTGCTTTCTCGATGCTTATATCTGTTTCATTCCTTGAGGGAATTAGACGGGAATAGACAAAACTTAGACAGTACCAACCTTCTTGGGTAAGATCCCTCTTGTAGATTGTTTGGCACCGTTGTCGGGGAATACGGTTTTGAAATTACTAATTAGTGTGTGCTTTACTTTTTGTCTTCTTCTATTCCATCACACCTTGCTTGCTTTGCTTGGTGTCACTAGGTAAACATGGACGAGCCGGAAGAAGAGAATATATTTGCGGATATAGATGAGTATATTGAGGACAAATTCTATTGTCCCTCCAAGAGTTGATGTTGCTACCTTCAAGGTGAAACACAGTCTAATTCTAATGCTCAAGACAGAGGGGTTTTTCTGAAATTCCATAGATGATGATCCGACATGGCATCTCAGAAATTTCTGGGGTGTGTGTGTGATGCACAAGCAGAATCATGTTTCAGATGATGCCCTAAGGTTGAGGGTGTTCAAGTACTCTCTAACTGGAGAGGCAAGATAATGGATCCAAAATCTACCGCCTAATTCCATTCATACTTGGCCCGAGCTTTCCTAGCAAAATGGTTTCCACAGAGCAAGAAATCTGAGCTCCGGGATAAAATTTTCTTTTTCAAGCAATTACCGATAGAGCATCTATATGAGGCATGCGATCAGTTCAAGCTATATTTAGTGAGGTTGCCGAATCATGGTTTTCCGGATACTATCTTTTTAGAGAAATTTTACATAGGCTTGGATACTATGAATCAATCCATAGCCAAAAATGCAGCTGATGGATCTTTTATGGATAAAACATTTGGAAGGATCACGCAAATCCTTGACAAAATGCCAAAACATAACCAAGCTTGGCACTCAGAGGACACCATGGGTGCAATTGCATATGGTACTCCTTCCTTGACCAACATGATTAAGGAGAACCAAGAAAGAGATCAAGTAATTGTCGGGCTTGCCACCAACGTCAATGTGTTGACGAAGATGTTCACTGAAAGCCAAACAAAAAAGGTGAACATGGTGAAAGATGTTCAACCCATGTTAAATGAGGACTACGAGGAAGCAAATTATGCCAACAAATCTCAAGGAGGTTATCAAAGGCAACCCTACCAAGGTTCAGGACAACAAAACCAATGGAGGCCTAACCCGCAAGGGCAAGGCAGCCAACTGTGGCGAAATGACCAAGGTAGTTTGAATCAAGGAAATTGGGTAACAACAACAATAAGTTTTCAAATCGGAGTTCCAACCCCTATGTTCCACCAAAGGGGCATTATTAAAACTCTCCACATTGAAAAGAAAGTTCTTTGAGTGAGTCCAAGTTGGAAAACATGCTTGAACGAGTATTGTAAAATCAAGAAAGATCCGACACTTCAATGAAGAACATGACTGAGCTTGTGGGCTCTCATACCGCATCTATTCAAAAGTTGGAGATGCAAATGAGAGATCTCTCAAGAGAGCAAAATCTGAAGCAAAAAGGCACACCCCCAAGTGACACAATTGCAAACCCAAAAGGTAGTAGGAGTGGCCCAACCTCGCATTGTATGGGAATCACAACTCAAAGTGGGAAACTACTTCAAGGAGATAATGAACAAGTGGTTGAAGTGGAAGATTTCGAACAACAAGTCGAGGCACAAGTTGAGGTGCCAATTGTTGTTGAAGTTGAAAGACTCCCGAAGAAGGTGAGAACTCAAGAAGTGAACCATGAGGAGGTTAAGGAAAAGGTAATAGAGGCACCAAAACTGTAGCACCAATTACTAGGCCTCTGCCTCCTTTCCCTCAAAGATTTGCTATGAGGGTTGATGATAGCAAACTCAAAAAGTTCTATGACATTCTCAAGCAATTATCGGTAAACATTCCATTTGTGGAAGCATTTTAAGAGATGCTGTGTTTTGCTAAGTACTTGACAAACTTAATCACTAAAAAGAGAACCACCAATGAAATGGTGAATGTGACTCACCGGGTTAGTTCCATCATTGCAGCAACCACGGTCCAAAAGAAAGAGGACCCGAGAGCTTTTACCATTCCATGCACTATTGGGTTGCGCAATTTTGCACGAGCCCTTTATGATAATGGGGCTATGATCAACTTAATGCCTCTTGCTATTTACAAGCAAGCGGGGTTAGGTATGACTAGGCCTACAAGTATGAGGTTGCAAATGGCCGACCGTTCAATAAAGAGACCGGTGGGAATTGTTGATGATGTCCTTGTGAAAGTGGGGAAGTTCCTCCTCCCTGCCGACTTTGTTATCCTCGATTGTGCTATTGATAAAGAAATCGCTATCATCTTGGGGAGACCATTCCTTGCCACCGGAAGAGCACGCATGGATTTGGAACGAAATGAGATCAAGTTCCGAGTTAATGACGAAGAGGTTACCTTTCAAGCAAGTAAGGGTTTGAAATTACCACATGCATATGAAAGCATCTCAGTCATTGATATTATTGGTGAGGTAGAGGATGCAATCGAATTGAAGATGGAAGAAGAATGCCTTGGTGAGGCATCGGCGACTATTTTGGTGAATTTTGATGGTGAAGACATGGAGGGATATATGGAATTGGTAAATGCATTAGAAGGGCTTGGGTCCTACACTTATGCACCAAAGAAACTTTCTCTTGACTTAGAGAATAGAGTCACTCCTCCCACTAAGCCTTCAATAATCGAGCTGCCACAACTTGAGCTCAAGCCACTTCCACCGCACTTAAGGTATAAATTCATTGGCTCTAATGAAACTTTACAAGTAATCGTTTCTTCATTGTTGAATGATGTGCAGGTTGAATAGTTGTTGAATATCTTGAGGGAGCACAGACAGGCCATTGGGTGGACAATAGCGGACATCCGAGGGGTCCCCACTGGAATTTGTGAGCATAAGATACAATTGGAGCAAGAGAGCAAACCTAGCGTGGAGCATCAAAGAAGGTTAAACCCTTCCATGCAAGAGGTGGTGAAGAAAGAAAACATAAAATGGTTAGATGCGGGGGTAGTCTACCCCATTGCCGATAGCCCTTGGGTGAGTCCGGTGTAATGTGTGCCAAAGAAAGGAGGCATGACCGCGATTCAAAACGGCAAAAATGAGCTCATCCGAACAAGGACAGTGACCGGGTCGAGAGTTTGCAAGGACTAGAAGCTCAAAAGTGCTACTTGCAAGGACCATTTCCCTATGCCTTTTATTGATCAAATGCTTGATCGGCTAGCAGGAAGATCATTCTATTACTTCTTGGATGGTTATTCTGGCTATAACCAAATCAACATCGCCTTAGAAGATCAAGAGAAGACAACATTCACATGCCCGTATGGGACCTTTGCCTTTAGCTGTATGTCATTTGGGCTATGTAATGCCCCGACTACCTTTCAACGGTGCATGATGTCAATCTTCACGGACATGGCGGAGGATTTTTTAGAGGTGTTTATGGATGACTTCTCTGTAGTTGGTGACTCCTTTGAGCATTGCCTTGACAACCTTAGACAAATTCTCGAAAGATGTGAGGAAACCAACCTTGTGCTAAATTGGGAAAAGTGCCACTTCATGGTGGACGAGGGCATTGTTCTGGGCCAGAAATTTTCCAAGCAAGGCATAGAGTTTGATCGGGAAAAGATCAAAATCATTTCCAAGCTTCCTCCTCCCACTTCGGTAAAAGGTGTCCGAAGCTTTTTGGGGCATGCCGGTTCTTATAGGCATTTTATCAAGGACTTCTCAAAAATTGCAAATCCCATGTGCAAACTCATTGAAAAAGATGCAAAGTTTGAATTTAATGAGAAGTGTCTCAAAGCTTTTGAGGAATTGAAAGCAAGTTTCACCACGGCACCTATTATTGTCACACCTGATTGGTCCCTTCCATTTGAACTCATGTGTGACGCCAGTGGTATAGATATTGGGGAGGTACTTGGTCAACGACATAACAAGATCCTTCATCCTGTCTACTATGCAAGCAAGACACTCAATGGAGCACAAATGAATGACTGAGAAAGAACTGCTTGCCATTGTCTATGCTTTAAAAAAATTACGAGCCTATTTGTTGGGGTCCAAAGTGATAGTTTACACCGATCATGATGCTCTTCGCTATCTTATGGCGGAGAAGGATGCTACACCAAGATTGATTAGGTGGGTTCTTTTGTTACAAGAGTTTGACTTTGAAGTCAAGGATCAGAAAAGGACAGAGAATCAAGTTACGGATCACCTATCTAGGCTTGAAGAGGCAAGGAGACCAAAAGAAGATCTTGAAATTAATGATGCCTTTCCATATAAGCACATATTGGAATTGTCTAGCACCTTCACTCCTTGATATGCTGACATTGCTAACTTTTTGGTTAGTGACCTTATTCCCGATCAATTGGAATCTTATCAAAAGAAAAAGTTCTTGCGGGAGTGTAGGCAATACTATTAGGAGGAACCCTTTCTGTTCCGTATTTGTGCCGATAACATCATTTGGCGTTGTGTTCCGGAAGATGAGGTAATGCAAATTCTCAAAGCATGTCATGACTCCCTAGTTGGGGGCCATCATGGTGAAACCGTACTGCGACAAAAGTGCATGAATGTGGCTACTATTGGCCATCGATCTACCAAGACGCAAATCAAATGGTCAAGGCATGTGATCAATGTCAAAAACAAAGGTAAATTTCTAGAATACATGAGATGCCTATGAACTTTGTAATGGAGGTCGAGATCTTTGATGTGTGGAGGATAGACTTCATTGGTCCCTTCATGAGATCTTATGGAATGACATACATCTTGGTGGTTGTGGACTATGTCTCCAAATGGGTCGAGGCAATCGCCTTGCCAAACAATGAGGCAAAGAGGGTGAGCACTTTCTTGAAGAAGAACATATTTACGCGGTTTGGTACCCCCAGGGCCATCCTTAGTGATGGTGGTTCTCACTTTTGCAACAAGGCCGTTACCGGGCTGCTCGAAAAGTATGAAGTCAAGCACAAGGTTTCCACCCCTTATCATTCTCAGTCGAGCGGCCAGGTTGAAGTTTCCAACAGGGAGATCAAAACATCCTAGCAAATACAGTTAATGCAAACAGGACTGGCTGGTCAAGGAAGCTAGATGATGCATTGTGGGCATATCGCATAGCATTTAAGACTTCCATTGGCACCTCACCATACCGCTTGGTTTTTGGTAAGGCATATCACTTGCCAGTGGAGCTTCAACACAAATCCATGTGGTCGTTAAAAAAGTTGAATCATGATTGGGCCGAATCTACTAACCTAATAATGACACAACTCAATGAGATGGAAGAATTCCGTCTCCATGCCGATGAGAGTGCAGCCATGTATAAGGAAAGAATGAAATTTGTTCATGATAAGAAGATTTTGAAGCGGGAATTCAAATCCTTTGACTTGGTCATACTCTTCAATTCAAGACTCAAGTCATTTTCGGGCAAACTCAAATCCAAATGGTCTGGCCTGTTCAAAGTTGTGAATGTCTCCCCCTATGGCGTTATTGAATTGGAGTTGGAGGACGGGACTCGAACTTTCAAAGTAAATGGACAACGGGTCAAGCATTACCTCGGAACCACAGGGGAAAGGCACTTGGTAGAACAATTCACACTCAAGGATAATCCTACACCAGCCCCCACCACTGATTAGCCCAAATGGGTTCAACATCGTCGTGCCGCAACGTCAAGCACTTCTTGGGAGGCAACCCATGTGTGGTAATATTCTTTAGTTAGATTTTAATTTCTGTAGGTTTATTTGTTAGTGTTGAGCAGTTTGACGTGTGTGTGAGAATGCAGGTAGCTCAAAATACAATGAAATAGGGTGCAAGGACTGAGAAGAAGGAAGGAAAGAAGGACTTGTGGTCTGCGGTAACTATGCGGTCGCTTTATGGCTTTGCGGATCGCATAATGGTCGCAGACACACTCAGAAGAAAATGCAATTTTGGCCCTAAAAATGCGGTGGATTTCTATTTCTGCGGCCTGCAAAATGATTATGTGACCGCAATGCATCACGAAATGAGTTTTAGCAAAGTAGTCAATAACTCATCGCATAACACATATGTGACCGCATAATGTGTTATGCAATCTACACAGAACCCCTAGGTATTAAACCCTAACCCCTCCGCATTTCAATCGCACACCCTCACTCTCACACACACAAGCACCGCATAACAAAAAGAGATCAAACACAAAAATAAAAATAAAAAGAACAAGAAAACGACCAAAAACATCGGATTAACAACACAAAATCACAAAAAGATAAAAGGAATTGCACAGAAAGAGGTCACCTTGTTCGTATCTCAGAATGAGTTATTCAGCTACTCAAATATCTGGTATGTACAATTCCCCCTTGTTCTCTTTCTTAATCTCGCTGAAGAATCATGTGCTTGCAATTCCCTTCCCCATTCTTCTCAATCCCTTGTTGTGTGTGCGTATTCGGTTCAAGAATCAGTGTTTGGGAAAAATTGATGCTGTAGGAAAATTGGGTCTTAGGGATTTAACCCACAAAATAGGTGTAGAGAACAGGGGTTGGGAAATTTTTCTATGTATTGGGTGTTCTGTCTGATTTTAGCTATTAGAAGCTCGATAAGTTGGGTGGGTCGATTTTTGACTAAGGACGATGAACTTTGCGGTCCGCATAACTAGTCTGCGCTGCGGTCCGCAAACCTGCCGCATTTCTGCCCTTCTATGGGTTTTTGTCTTATTTTCCATGTTCTTGGTTCTTCAAGTATCATACACTACAAAGCACCAAAACTTCAGAAGAAATAACTAAAAATGCTTTAAAAGACGAGCAAAAGTCTATGTAATTAGTATCAAAAGTGTCGCAATTCAACGGCACGTAACCAACGATATCCACTTCTGCGGTCAAACTGTCGCACCTCCGACACCACACTTGCAGAATAATCCATCACAACTGTGGTTCCCACTAAGGCTAGGCAAGTTCGCTTCTACGAAGAATAATGCGCATGTGCGCATCCGCTCCTGCAGAACATGGGTGCTGATAACTAGGGGTTCTAGTTCATTTAACACTCTTTTTTACTTGAGTTTTGATTAGAAATGTATACAAATAGTCCCAAAGGCTTACATGTTGTACTTGTTTGCAGGGTTTGGTCAAAAAAGTGACAAGTAGTCAAAAACAGCTCAAAAAGGAGTGAAACCTGTACAAGTACCAAGAACAAGTCAAGGCATTGCTGCAGCATAAAATCCACTGCAGCCGCAGAAGATCCACCGCGGCCGCAGTCCATTTAGCGCGGTCCATAGTGGAAAAGATCAAAGAGATGAAAATTTTAGAAGCTCAAGCACTACGGCCACAGTCCATTTTGTGCGGACCGCAGTAGCCTCACCGTGGCCGCAATCCATTTTGTGCGGTCCGCGGAGAGGAGATTCAGAGAGTTGGGAGTTTGGAAGATTGGAAGCCACTGCGGCCGCAGTCCATTTTATGCGGACCGCAGTGAAGCCGCTGAAGCCGCGGTGCATTTTATGCGGTCCGCGGTGGCCAGATTCAGAGCCTGAGAAATGAAGCTAAAAAGCCTCATCACAGCCGCAGTGCATTTTCCGCGGTTCGCGCTAGCCCCGTCAGCGGTATTTTTTTCCAGAAAATTCGGCCTTGTATAAATAGTTCTTTTTCAGATTTTTAGGGTATCTAACTTTTAGCTGAGCACGTGAAGGCCGTTTTGGACCTATTTTGAGTAATTTTTGTGGCTAGTTCAACATTGAATCCTTAATTCTTAGCTTGTAAACATATTTTATGGGTTATTCTTCATCTAATTATTTGTTTTCTTCCATTATTATGAGTAGCTAGACCCATTAGCTAGGGTTGTGGCTCAACCCTAGTGTGGGTATTTGATAGGTCTTGTGTTTTAAGGCTTAGATGTTTATGGATGGTTGATAGGACTGATTTGTGTTTTCTATGTTGGATTAGTGGTTGCAAACACTAATTTGTGCCTATTTGACTTGGGCTCTTCTTGAGAAAGAGAGCTTGAGTCTAGGTAATCAGTCTAACAAGGAATTGGGGCGTACTCAATAGATTAATAGCCCCAATTAAAGGGTTAAACCTAGAGATAGTAATACCCGACTTGAGCCTACATTGCTTGCATAATCTCGACACCCAATTGGTCTTGAGAAAGTCAATTAGGGCAAAGTCACTCAAGCTACCGAGAGGTATAGAGTGAGTAGTGTCGTGCATTGGCTATATCGCGATCCCAAACATAACAACTTTGCCTTAGACTTTAGAACCCGTCAAGTATTCACCTAGGGGAAAGTTACTTCCATAGTGCCTCTTTACCTATTTAGAAAACCTTTCAAGCAATTACTCTTGGTTTAATTTAGCATCTCAGTAGTATAATATTAGAAGTAAAAAACGAACAGTTATGATTGGAAGCGTAATTAAGAGCATTATGCATTGCTAGTTTAGATAGGAATCCAATTCCCAAATCTAGCTCCCTGTGGATTTGATCCCAACCTTCTCGGGTAAAAGCTGCATCGACCGCTCTTGCCACTTCGTAGTGGTGCAGGGTTGGGCATCGATCACTTTTTTGGCGCCGTTTCTGGGGAGCTAACGGTTTAGGCTATCTATCTAAATAGTTTTGCGTATTGTTTTTCTTTCCTTCTGTGATACTAACTTGTGTGTGACGCCAATTCAGGTACAGTATGGCGGCAAACAACAACAATGACCCTCTTGGAAACGTGGTTCCGGGGGAGGAGGTTGATGATAACGGAGATGATGAGGTGCCTTTAGTGCCTCAAGGACAAAGGAGAGGCCGCCAGGCCAATGCTAATGATAATGTTCTAGACCCTCCCCCGCCACCTCCAAGAGTGGCTCCTCGGGTGCTTCCCAACCAAGGATATGCGAGTGAAATTGTCCCACCTCGAACCCGGGCGGGCAATTTTCAAATTACCAATGTGATGCTGACCTTGTTGGAGCAGCGAGGGTATTTCACAGGTGCTCCCCATCAGAATGCTTACAAGCACCTTAAGGGTTTCGTGGATACCTATTGGGGAAGCAAGCAAACAAAAGTGTCAGAGGATGCACTTCGGTTGAGACTATTCCCTTTTTCACTGAGAGGGAAGGCTTTGGACTGGCTTGAACGGCTTCCCAACCATTCCATCACTACTTGGGATGAGTTGGCGGATAAATTCATTGCGAAGTTTTTTTCACCGGGGCACATGGCAACTCTGAGGGATGAAATCTTAGCTTTCAAACAGGAGCCCAACGAACCACTGCACGAGATTTGGGAGAGATACGGACTATGGTGAAGGAATGCCCAAACAATGATATGACTGAGGAAATGATACAACAGACATTCTATCGTGGCATTAACACAACAAATCAGTGCATAGTGAACCAACTAGCTGGGGGCAACTTCATGAACATACCGTATGATAAAGCTTGTAAGATATTGGATGAGATGGTGGACACTTCTTCCGCTTGGCAAAGTAGAGCAAATGTGCCACAGGGTAACCCCACAGTCATTCATTTGCACAAGGAGCTCCATGATCATGGACAGGCAATTGTAGAACTTACAACAACAATGAACCAGCTAGCAAAGGCACAATTACAACAGGTTCAAACTCCACGACAAGTGAATGCTAGGGAGGGTGTCAACATGTTAGTGAACAAAAGAAGACAAAGAGGGCAACAGAACCAAGGGAATTTGGATCAATATGACCAAGATAGTGGTGGGTTCCAAGATGATGTGTATGATGAGCAGAATGAAGAAGTGCAATACGTGAACAACTATCAAGGCCAAAGGAGAAATTCTTCTAACCAAGAGCAACAATGGAGGTCCCAAGGCTATTGGGGAAATCAATAACAACAAGGGAACAATAATTAGGGGAACAACAATCAAAATCCAAATTGGGGAAACCAGAACAATAATCAAAGCAATCAGGGTAATTGGAATAACAACAACAGCAACAACTGGGGTGGAAAAAACAATCAGGGTGGTTGGAACAATAGTAATCAGGAAAATCGGGGCAAGGCTTTCAAAGACCCCCGATGTATCAACAACCGAACAATCCACCACCATTTCCATCCCAAGGTCCTAATTCATCCAACAATGACATGGGAAGAACTGAAATGATGTTTGAACATATGATGAAAAAGAATTCTGACTCCTGCTCAATTGGCATCCCACAATACTTCAATCAGAAACTTGGAGGTTCAGCTAGGCCAAATCTCTCAATCCTTGAATACTCGCCCTAAGGGGGCTCTACCTAGTGATACGGTAGTCAACCCGAAGGGTGGGAACAATATCGGGCATGCAATGGCGGTAACTACAAGAAGTGGACGAGGCGGTGATGTGAATACCTCCAAACAAAAAGAAATTTTGAGTGATGAAGTTGAGTTGCAAGAGGATGAGATCCTTTTGGTGGTTGATAATGTGATTGATGAGAACGTGAATGAAGAAGTGAGGATTGATATCAAAGATACCGAGGTGGAAACTCAGAATGACGTGAACTCGTCTAGGGAACACGTAATAGACATGTCGGAAAAGGTTGTGCCTAAAGCCAAGGCTCCTTTGCCAAGGCCACCTCCACCTTATCCTCAAAGGCTCACGAAGCAGAAAAATGAGAACCAGTTTAAGAAATTTATTGACATGATGAAGAGCTTATCCATTAATGTGCCTTTGGTGGAGGCTTTAGAGCAAA